AGTGCGGAGGTCTGAGGTGGGGACTCGAGCTCGGGAGTCGGGGATCGGTGAAGTGGGCTCGGCCGACGAGAAGCCTTGTCTGGCGTCGAGCCTCAGCCTGTCCGGTCCGACGACCAGCTTGGACTACGAGGCAGGCTCGGGCTCGGACAACACGGCCGAGGCCGACGTCGTCTGCAACAAACACGCTTTCGCCTACCTCCTCGAGGCGGAGTTCGACAAAGCGTTCAACATTCTGCTCCGAGTGCCCTGCACCAACATCCTCGAGGAGGTGGCCAATCAGTCCGACGACTTTGCCTACCACATTCGGCCACTGTTCGAGTACGTCTGGGCCACTCTGGAGGATCACGCGTTCGACATTTTCCCCGAACTGCTCAACCGCGAGTTGACCGGGCCGGAGCCACGCGGCCGGCCGGCACGTGACGACCGTCCCAGTCGTCACGGCAAATCGGTCACCTTGTCGGAGCGGACGTTGCGTCGCAGTCGAGTGCTCGGTCCCGAGACGGACGAGCCGCGCCGGCCACGTGTCTCGTTGCTACAGCGCCATTTGGCCGCCTCCACGTCGCGACGCAGGGCGACGAAGCCGTCAAGTCGGGTCGACCTGGAGCGAGAGGCGGTCGGATCGGTGGAGGAGGTAGAGACGGAGACGGAGACGGAAGAGGCAAATGTGAATGTGGACGTGGACGTGGATGTGGATGTGGATGTGAATGTGGATGTGGATGTGGATGTGGATGTGGATGTGGAGAGTGGAGGGTACGAGGCGGGTGTGTACCATTTGGGCGAGGGTGCGCGGCCGCGGGGCGCCTCGACTCGGCAGCGGGTGAGGGGGCCGCTGTCTGGCGACACGTCGCGTTGCCCTCGACGACAACAGGCCGTCGGTCGGTTTGTGCATCTGCGTGGCTTCTGGGAGAGGATGCTGACGCGGGTGCTGGGCGAGCTGCGCGTGGACAACATCTTCTGCCCGGGTCGTCGGGTCTGGTCGCGGCTGCTCTTCCTCTTCCACATGACGCATTATGTGCCCGCCCTAACGGATCGTCTCGCCGTCCACATGGACGCCTGGTTGCCACCGCTGCTCGTCTGCCTGCAGTCGAGCTACGACAGTGTCCAACAGGAGGCCTGCTGCCTGCTCGCCTATCTCGTCTCCTCCTACCGACTGTTGCAACGACTGCACTCGGCCAGTCGCAACCTGCTCGTCGCCAACATCACGTTGGAGACGCTGGACGCGATCAGTCGACGCACCGACAACTATCCCGTCTTCCACGGCCTCCTCGGCTACATGTTGCACAGTCTGCCCTCGTTGGCCATCATCGACAGTCTGCTCGTCTGCATCCCACACGTGGCCGACGACCCGGCCAGCCTGTTGGCTCGCGACTGGGGCCTGTTCGTCTTCTACGCCGTCAAGCACTGGCCGGCCAACGCTCTGCGCATGGACGCCTTCTACGCTCGCCGGTTGATCGGCCTCCTCGAGCACTCGGCCCTCCGGCCGCACTCGAGACGCTCGGCCCGACTGGCGCTCGGCTACCTGACCAGACGACTGCGCATGCGCAGCCAACTCATCACCAGTTGGATGCCGAAAGAGGGCGACCTCGAGGCCAGTTGGACCGATTGACCGTGACCACGCATTTACCCCGCCCGAGCTGAGACGCTGTCACCGAGACAAGAGACGTACACACGTACACACATACAGACAGACAGACAGGTAGATGTGAGGAAAGAGAGAAACAGAGTGGCAGATAGAGAGAGAAAGATGGAGACTGACAAAGAGAAAGAGCAGGTGAGAGAAAGAGGCAGACAGAGATGGAGCTAGAGAAGGAGACAGACAGACAGACAGACAGACAGACAGA